ATATGAGAGGAGTGGGAGATATGAGAGGAGTGGGAGATATGAGATGAGTGGGAGATATGAGAGGAGTGGGAGATATGAGAGGAGTGGGAGATATGAGAGGAGTGGGAGATATGAGAGGAGTGGGAGATATGAGAGGAGTGGGAGATATGAGAGGAGTGGGAGATATGAGAGGAGTGGGAGATATGAGAGGAGTGGGAGATATGAGATGAGTGGGAGATATGAGATGAGTGGGAGATATGAGATGAGTGGGAGATATGAGATGAGTGGGAGATATGAGATGAGTGGGAGATATGAGATGAGTGGGAGATATGAGATGAGTGGGAGATATGAGAGGAGTGGGAGATATGAGAGGAGTGGGAGATATGAGAGGAGTGGGAGATATGAGATGAGTGGGAGATATGAGAGGAGTGGGAGATATGAGAGGAGTGGGAGATATGAGATGAGTGGGAGATATGAGAGGAGTGGGAGATATGAGAGGAGTGGGAGATATGAGAGGAGTGGGAGATATGAGAGGAGTGGGAGATATGAGAGGAGTGGGAGATATGAGAGGAGTGGGAGATATGAGAGGAGTGGGAGATATGAGATGAGTGGGAGATATGAGATGAGTGGGAGATATTAGAGGAGTGGGAGATATGAGAGGAGTGGGAGATATGAGAGGAGTGGGAGATATGAGAGGAGTGGGAGATATGAGAGGAGTGGGAGATATGAGAGGAGTGGGAGATATGAGAGGAGTGGGAGATATGAGAGGAGTGGGAGATATGAGAGGAGTGGGAGATATGAGAGGAGTGGGAGATATGAGAGGAGTGGGAGATATGAGAGGAGTGGGAGATATGAGATGAGTGGGAGATATGAGAGGAGTGGGAGATATGAGATGAGTGGGAGATATGAGAGGAGTGGGAGATATGAGAGGAGTGGGAGATATGAGAGGAGTGGGAGATATGAGATGAGTGGGAGATATGAGAGGAGTGGGAGATATGAGAGGAGTGGGAGATATGAGATGAGTGGGAGATATGAGAGGAGTGGGAGATATGAGAGGAGTGGGAGATATGAGAGGAGTGGGAGATATGAGAGGAGTGGGAGATATGAGAGGAGTGGGAGATATGAGAGGAGTGGGAGATATGAGAGGAGTGGGAGATATGAGAGGAGTGGGAGATTATGAGAGGAGTGGGAGATATGAGAGGAGTGGGAGATATGAGAGGAGTGGGAGATATGAGAGGAGTGGGAGATATGAGAGGAGTGGGAGATATGAGATGAGTGGGAGATATGAGAGGAGTGGGAGATATGAGAGGAGTGGGAGATATGAGAGGAGTGGGAGATATGAGATGAGTGGGAGATATGAGAGGAGTGGGAGATATGAGAGGAGTGGGAGATATGAGAGGAGTGGGAGATATGAGATGAGTGGGAGATATGAGAGGAGTGGGAGATATGAGAGGAGTGGGAGATATGAGAGGAGTGGGAGATATGAGAGGAGTGGGAGATATGAGAGGAGTGGGAGATATGAGAGGAGTGGGAGATATGAGAGGAGTGGGAGATATGAGAGGAGTGGGAGATATGAGAGGAGTGGGAGATATGAGAGGAGTGGGAGATATGAGATGAGTGGGAGATATGAGAGGAGTGGGAGATATGAGAGGAGTGGGAGATATGAGAGGAGTGGGAGATATGAGATGAGTGGGAGATATGAGAGGAGTGGGAGATATGAGAGGAGTGGGAGATATGAGAGGAGTGGGAGATATGAGATGAGTGGGAGATATGAGAGGAGTGGGAGATATGAGAGGAGTGGGAGATATGAGAGGAGTGGGAGATATGAGAGGAGTGGGAGATATGAGAGGAGTGGGAGATATGAGAGGAGTGGGAGATATGAGAGGAGTGGGAGATATGAGAGGAGTGGGAGATATGAGAGGAGTGGGAGATATGAGAGGAGTGGGAGATATGAGAGGAGTGGGAGATATGAGAGGAGTGGGAGATATGAGATGAGTGGGAGATATGAGAGGAGTGGGAGATATGAGATGAGTGGGAGATATGAGATGAGTGGGAGATATGAGAGGAGTGGGAGATATGAGAGGAGTGGGAGATATGAGATGAGTGGGAGATATGAGATGAGTGGGAGATATGAGAGGAGTGGGAGATATGAGATGAGTGGGAGATATGAGAGGAGTGGGAGATATGAGAGGAGTGGGAGATATGAGAGGAGGGGAGATATGAGAGGAGTGGGAGATATGAGAGGAGTGGGAGATATGAGAGGAGTGGGAGATATGAGAGGAGTGGGAGATATGAGAGGAGTGGGAGATATGAGAGGAGTGGGAGATATGAGAGGAGTGGGAGATATGAGAGGAGTGGGAGATATGAGAGGAGTGGGAGATATGAGAGGAGTGGGAGATATGAGATGAGTGGGAGATATGAGATGAGTGGGAGATATGAGAGGAGTGGGAGATATGAGATGAGTGGGAGATATGAGAGGAGTGGGAGATATGAGAGGAGTGGGAGATATGAGAGGAGTGGGAGATATGAGAGGAGTGGGAGATATGAGAGGAGTGGGAGATATGAGATGAGTGGGAGATATGAGATGAGTGGGAGATATGAGATGAGTGGGAGATATGAGATCAGTGGGAGATATGAGAGGAGTGGGAGATATGAGAGGAGTGGGAGATATGAGAGGAGTGGGAGATATGAGAGGAGTGGGAGATATGAGAGGAGTGGGAGATATTAGAGGAGTGGGAGATATGAGAGGAGTGGGAGATATGAGAGGAGTGGGAGATATGAGATGAGTGGGAGATATGAGATGAGTGGGAGATATGAGAGGAGTGGGAGATATGAGATGAGTGGGAGTATGGAGAGGAGTGGGAGATATGAGAGGAGTGGGAGATATGAGAGGAGTGGGAGATATGAGAGGAGTGGGAGATATGAGAGGAGTGGGAGATATGAGAGGAGTGGGAGATATGAGAGGAGTGGGAGATATGAGAGGAGTGGGAGATATGAGAGGAGTGGGAGATATGAGAGGAGTGGGAGATATGAGAGGAGTGGGAGATATGAGAGGAGTGGGAGATATGAGAGGAGTGGGAGATATGAGAGGAGTGGGAGATATGAGAGGAGTGGGAGATATGAGAGGAGTGGGAGATATGAGAGGAGTGGGAGATATGAGAGGAGTGGGAGATATGAGAGGAGTGGGAGATATGAGAGGAGTGGGAGATATGAGATGAGTGGGAGATATGAGATGAGTGGGAGATATGAGAGGAGTGGGAGATATGAGATGAGTGGGAGATATGAGAGGAGTGGGAGATATGAGATGAGTGGGAGATATGAGATGAGTGGGAGATGAGTGGGAGATATGAGATGAGTGGGAGATATGAGATGAGTGGGAGATATGAGATGAGTGGGAGATATGAGATGAGTGGGAGATATGAGATGAGTGGGAGATATGAGATGAGTGGGAGATATGAGATGAGTGGGAGATATGAGATGAGTGGGAGATATGAGATGAGTGGGAGATATGAGATGAGTGGGAGATATGAGATGAGTGGGAGATATGAGATGAGTGGGAGATATGAGATGAGTGGGAGATATGAGATGAGTGGGAGATATGAGATGAGTGGGAGATATGAGATGAGTGGGAGATATGAGATGAGTGGGAGATATGAGATGAGTGGGAGATATGAGATGAGTGGGAGATATGAGATGAGTGGGAGATATGAGATGAGTGGGAGATATGAGATGAGTGGGAGATATGAGATGAGTGGGAGATATGAGATGAGTGGGAGATATGAGATGAGTGGGAGATATGAGATGAGTGGGAGATATGAGATGAGTGGGAGATATGAGATGAGTGGGAGATATGAGATGAGTGGGAGATATGAGATGAGTGGGAGATATGAGAGGAGTGGGAGATATGAGAGGAGTGGGAGATATGAGAGGAGTGGGAGATATGAGAGGAGTGGGAGATATGAGAGGAGTGGGAGATATGAGAGGAGTGGGAGATATTAGAGGAGTGGGAGATATGAGAGGAGTGGGAGATATGAGAGGAGTGGGAGATATGAGATGAGTGGGAGATATGAGATGAGTGGGAGATATGAGAGGAGTGGGAGATATGAGAGGAGTGGGAGATATGAGAGGAGTGGGAGATATGAGATGAGTGGGAGATATGAGAGGAGTGGGAGATATGAGAGGAGTGGGAGATATGAGAGGAGTGGGAGATATGAGAGGAGTGGGAGATATGAGAGGAGTGGGAGATATGAGAGGAGTGGGAGATATGAGAGGAGTGGGAGATATGAGAGGAGTGGGAGATATGAGAGGAGTGGGAGATATGAGAGGAGTGGGAGATATGAGAGGAGTGGGAGATATGAGAGGAGTGGGAGATATGAGAGGAGTGGGAGATATGAGATGAGTGGGAGATATGAGAGGAGTGGGAGATATGAGAGGAGTGGGAGATATGAGATGAGTGGGAGATATGAGAGGAGTGGGAGATATGAGAGGAGTGGGAGATATGAGAGGAGTGGGAGATATGAGAGGAGTGGGAGATATGAGAGGAGTGGGAGATATGAGAGGAGTGGGAGATATGAGAGGAGTGGGAGATATGAGAGGAGTGGGAGATATGAGATGAGTGGGAGATATGAGATGAGTGGGAGATATGAGATGAGTGGGAGATATGAGATGAGTGGGAGATATGAGATGAGTGGGAGATATGAGATGAGTGGGAGATATGAGATGAGTGGGAGATATGAGAGGAGTGGGAGATATGAGAGGAGTGGGAGATATGAGAGGAGTGGGAGATATGAGATGAGTGGGAGATATGAGAGGAGTGGGAGATATGAGAGGAGTGGGAGATATGAGATGAGTGGGAGATATGAGAGGAGTGGGAGATATGAGAGGAGTGGGAGATATGAGAGGAGTGGGAGATATGAGAGGAGTGGGAGATATGAGAGGAGTGGGAGATATGAGAGGAGTGGGAGATATGAGAGGAGTGGGAGATATGAGATGAGTGGGAGATATGAGATGAGTGGGAGATATTAGAGGAGTGGGAGATATGAGAGGAGTGGGAGATATGAGAGGAGTGGGAGATATGAGAGGAGTGGGAGATATGAGAGGAGTGGGAGATATGAGAGGAGTGGGAGATATGAGAGGAGTGGGAGATATGAGAGGAGTGGGAGATATGAGAGGAGTGGGAGATATGAGAGGAGTGGGAGATATGAGAGGAGTGGGAGATATGAGAGGAGTGGGAGATATGAGATGAGTGGGAGATATGAGAGGAGTGGGAGATATGAGATGAGTGGGAGATATGAGAGGAGTGGGAGATATGAGAGGAGTGGGAGATATGAGAGGAGTGGGAGATATGAGATGAGTGGGAGATATGAGAGGAGTGGGAGATATGAGAGGAGTGGGAGATATGAGATGAGTGGGAGATATGAGAGGAGTGGGAGATATGAGAGGAGTGGGAGATATGAGAGGAGTGGGAGATATGAGAGGAGTGGGAGATATGAGAGGAGTGGGAGATATGAGAGGAGTGGGAGATATGAGAGGAGTGGGAGATATGAGAGGAGTGGGAGATATGAGAGGAGTGGGAGATATGAGAGGAGTGGGAGATATGAGAGGAGTGGGAGATATGAGAGGAGTGGGAGATATGAGAGGAGTGGGAGATATGAGAGGAGTGGGAGATATGAGATGAGTGGGAGATATGAGAGGAGTGGGAGATATGAGAGGAGTGGGAGATATGAGAGGAGTGGGAGATATGAGATGAGTGGGAGATATGAGAGGAGTGGGAGATATGAGAGGAGTGGGAGATATGAGAGGAGTGGGAGATATGAGATGAGTGGGAGATATGAGAGGAGTGGGAGATATGAGAGGAGTGGGAGATATGAGATGAGTGGGAGATATGAGAGGAGTGGGAGATATGAGAGGAGTGGGAGATATGAGAGGAGTGGGAGATATGAGAGGAGTGGGAGATATGAGAGGAGTGGGAGATATGAGAGGAGTGGGAGATATGAGAGGAGTGGGAGATATGAGATGAGTGGGAGATATGAGAGGAGTGGGAGATATGAGAGGAGTGGGAGATATGAGAGGAGTGGGAGATATGAGATGAGTGGGAGATATGAGAGGAGTGGGAGATATGAGAGGAGTGGGAGATATGAGAGGAGTGGGAGATATGAGATGAGTGGGAGATATGAGAGGAGTGGGAGATATGAGAGGAGTGGGAGATATGAGAGGAGTGGGAGATATGAGAGGAGTGGGAGATATGAGAGGAGTGGGAGATATGAGAGGAGTGGGAGATATGAGAGGAGTGGGAGATATGAGAGGAGTGGGAGATATGAGAGGAGTGGGAGATATGAGAGGAGTGGGAGATATGAGAGGAGTGGGAGATATGAGATGAGTGGGAGATATGAGAGGAGTGGGAGATATGAGATGAGTGGGAGATATGAGAGGAGTGGGAGATATGAGAGGAGTGGGAGATATGAGAGGAGTGGGAGATATGAGATGAGTGGGAGATATGAGAGGAGTGGGAGATATGAGAGGAGTGGGAGATATGAGATGAGTGGGAGATATGAGAGGAGTGGGAGATATGAGAGGAGTGGGAGATATGAGAGGAGTGGGAGATATGAGAGGAGTGGGAGATATGAGAGGAGTGGGAGATATGAGAGGAGTGGGAGATATGAGAGGAGTGGGAGATATGAGAGGAGTGGGAGATATGAGAGGAGTGGGAGATATGAGAGGAGTGGGAGATATGAGAGGAGTGGGAGATATGAGAGGAGTGGGAGATATGAGAGGAGTGGGAGATATGAGATGAGTGGGAGATATGAGAGGAGTGGGAGATATGAGAGGAGTGGGAGATATGAGAGGAGTGGGAGATATGAGATGAGTGGGAGATATGAGAGGAGTGGGAGATATGAGAGGAGTGGGAGATATGAGAGGAGTGGGAGATATGAGATGAGTGGGAGATATGAGAGGAGTGGGAGATATGAGAGGAGTGGGAGATATGAGATGAGTGGGAGATATGAGATGAGTGGGAGATATGAGATGAGTGGGAGATATGAGATGAGTGGGAGATATGAGATGAGTGGGAGATATGAGATGAGTGGGAGATATGAGATGAGTGGGAGATATGAGATGAGTGGGAGATATGAGATGAGTGGGAGATATGAGATGAGTGGGAGATATGAGATGAGTGGGAGATATGAGATGAGTGGGAGATATGAGATGAGTGGGAGATATGAGATGAGTGGGAGATATGAGATGAGTGGGAGATATGAGATGAGTGGGAGATATGAGATGAGTGGGAGATATGAGATGAGTGGGAGATATGAGATGAGTGGGAGATATGAGATGAGATGGGGTATGTGATGCGACCCATGCGATGCGAACCATGTGGCTCTTCCATGAGACCCATGAGGTTGAGATGGGTTCTGCTGGAACGGCAGTGAGTATAAAAGGGGTGAAGGAGTGGAGAGGGAGGGCTGTATGAAGCGAGAATAGGAAGGAGGTTTCGGGGAATGGAAGGAGGGGTTGAGACAGTGCAGAAAAAGTTATGGCTGGGATATGAATCTGCAGGGACTCTTATTATATCTTGCTTTTGCTTTTTGTTTATGGAAGAATGCTCCTTAGCTCCAAGCAATTGTCACCTTCACCCGGGTAATACTCAAATGTGACAATATGTCTGACGCACCGCCACGTAGGTGTGCCAGATGGTGTTTATGTATGGTGTGGATCATGCATGCGTGCGCATGGCCATGGATGAAGTCGTGCAACGACCATGGGGATCGTGGAATCATGCCTTTCATGCAGGTGCGTTGCATGGTCAATCATGTGTGGGCTTGAGCATGTGCAAGTCACAGGGCCTGAATGTGGCAAGCCGAGGACCAGAACCAGGTGAGGTGGCTTCAGCTGGAAAGGCACATGAAGATGCATGAGAATGAATCTCCTGTAACCTGGCTTCTGGCTTCTGGTTTATAGGCCGTGCCTCCTGCAAGTTGGGCTGGGCACATGAAAGTCGTGCAAGTTGGAGGGGGCCAGGGCATTCAGTGACCTGGCAAAGCTGTTTGACACCGGCCATTGCTGAGAGGGCCAGAGCTAATGTATGGGCATGGTGGGGGGATGATGGGACGATGTCTGATGGGGTGACGGGGTGATGGGGTGATGGTGTGATGGTGTGATGGTGTGATGAGAAAATGGGTGATGAGAAAATGGGTGATGAGAAAATGGGTGATGAGAAAATGGGTGAAGAGAAAATGGGTGATGAGAAAATGGGTGATGAGATCATGGGTGATGAGATCATGGGTGATGAGATCATGGGTGATGAGATCATGGGTGATGAGATCATGGGTGATGAGATCATGGGTGATGAGATAATGGATGATGAGATCATGGATGATGAGATAATGGATGATGAGATCATGGATGATGAGATCATGGATGATGAGATCATGGATGATGAGATCATGGAACCGTCTCCTCCAATGGGGTGCCAATGGCAGTGGTGGCGAGACAGGTGGCAAACGAGATCACAGATCTAATGCGGTAGAGGCAGGCTTGATACAAGGCACAACTCACCTCAGTGTGAAGATGAGTGATAATTGATGGTGTGGGTGCGGAAATGGCAGGGATGGATGCATGATAGAGGTGGACTATTCACACCTGGGGAGTGATAGAGGTGGAGGATTGGCTTTGAGTCAACTCAATCAAAAGTGACTTCTGACTTTTGAGTCGACTCAAAAGTCACCTGGAGGTTGCGCAGAGGGAGAGAGATGGAAATATTCAGTGAGGTGGGTGAAAGATTGGTGGATTTGACGCTACCGGCTGCACTTCGCACACCTGGGGAAGGGGAGTGGCAACGGGGATGGGGATGGGGATGTTGACGTGGAGCGAGGTGGGGGAGGCCCTGAGATGAGAACGGAGATAGGGGTGGGGACGAGAAAGTTCACGCGGAAGGGAATGGGGAGGGACAGTGATGGGGAGTGAGGACAGTTGCACTATGCGCACCTGAAGGAAGTGATTGGAAGAAGCAGGAGAGGTGGGAAAGAGTGGTGAGACTGGTAGGAGAGAGACCGTAAGGGATGGGAAGGGGGGAGGAGTTGCCACCTTGGATAACTAGCTAGCACTGGCATAGAAGATTCAGGCACAGGAGATTCAGGCACAGGAGATTCAGGCACATAGTTTTCAGGCACAGGGAATACAAGCACAGGCAAAGTTCTTAGCTGCACAAGAGAACTGAGATTGACCTGAGACTGACCTGAGACTGACCCGTGCAGTGAGTGCAGTGGGTGCAGCGAGTGGAGAGAGTGCAGTCAGGTAGAAGTCAACTGGGAGGTGCAGAGCTGGCAGGGGTGTGGGGGAGGAAGGGAGTTGGGAGAGGGAGGGAGCAGGGAAAACCGGTAGGGAGTGACGGCATGGTGGGAAGGATAGCATGCGGGCTCGGGCAGTCGGCAAATAAGAGGCAGGCTGGCGACCAGTGGGCGTGTAGGAGACGCAAGCGCACAACTGGGGGGGCAACCATTACGCTTCCGGCAGCAGCGCCGCTGGCGATGATGCAGTGGCGGGTGCGAGGAAAAAAGAAAGGGTCAGGCGAAGGGGCTCTGGGGGGGCAGGGAGAAGGGGCAGGGGGGAAGGACGCATGTGGAGGGGCAGGGAGGCGGGGCAATGGAAATTAGGCAAAGGAAAGACGCAATGGGAAGGGGCAAGGGTGGGATAAAGGGGGGACAGGGGGAAGGGGAAATGAGAAGGGGCATGTGGGATGGTAAGGGGAGGTGCAGACGAGAGGGACAAAGGGAAGGGGTAAGGGGAAGGGGCAAAGGGGAGGGCCAAAGGGAAGGGGCAAATGGGAGGGGCAAAGGGAAGGGGCAAAAGGAAGGGGCAAAAGGGAGGGGCAAAGCGAAGGGGCCAAGGGAAGGGGCAAACGGAAGGGGGAAAGGTAGAAAACAAACGGGAGGGGCAAAGGGGAGGGTCAAACGGGAGGGGCAAATAGGAGGGGCAAAGGGAAAGGGGCAAGGAAAAAGGGCGTACGTAGCTCCTTCATCAGCGGCGTAACGAGCGGCATGGCCATGGCCGCTGTAAACAGGTCCAGGAACACGACAACCAATATCAGCACGCCACGTGGCACGCACTTCTCTGCGCCTGCAGCTAGAGGTGTCCCTCCCTTATCCGCGCAATGCTTCCTCCCCCGTCACATGCCCTCGTGCTGGCTGGCTGGCTGGATAGAGCACACGATCTCACCATGGCTGGAATCGCTGTATGGAGAACTGATTATGCTACCTACGGATTGTATGCTCCTGCCTCAAGCGGCTTGCTGCTGACGAAAGCCGCTTGAGTAGCTCTGTGAATCTCAAGCTTCAGGAGGAAACATCCGCTATCCCAAAACACGTTTGACGCAAAGGGAAACAGAGAATATTGCAATGACACGAACACACAAATGACACCGTCGTTGCGCCCGCCGCCGCTGGTGGGCGGAAGCGAGGCGGTGGGGAGCACGGCGAGCAGCGCGTCGACGGTGGCGGCGTCCGCGTTCTCGAGGAACGCGTCGAGGCGCGCCTCTGCGTGCAGCACCCACCACCCCGCGCGCTGCTGCCAGTCCGCGGCGGCAAGCGGCAGCGCGAGGACGTCCGTCGCGCCGGCGTCGCACACGGCGCCCTTCACGATCGCGAGCGAGTCGGGCGGACTGTCCGCCGCGTCCACCAGGAGCGCCTCGACGAGGAGGTTGTAATTGCCGGTGGCGTTCCTGGAATAGAGGAGCGGTGGGAGTGGTGGGAGGGGAGGAGAAGGGAGGGGGAGGGTGGAAGATGCAATGAGTTGGACGATCGGAAGAAGCTGAGAAGCCCGCCGGCATTCTACGACGGGTAGCTGACGGATGCGCGAGGAAGCGAATGCCAGTAACTTTGACCAGCGACCGGAAATGGAATGAAGGAAAGCGCACAGCAGATTGGGGTTTCCTTCCGATGTGAGACGACAAAGACGAAGGCAGCGAAGCCCTCAAGGCACTACCTGACCAAGATGCCCTCAAGGCACTACCTGACCAAGATGCCCTCAAGGCACTACCTCACCAAGATTCATGGCGTGGTACCAAGAGGTCTGCACGAGTAGCAAGGCGGGGGAATGGATGGAGAGTGGCAAGACAGAGCACGGTCAAGAAGTGAATGTGGTGAAAGTTTATAATTACACGGCATGGCAAGCAACCATGGCTCTCTTGCACTCTCCCTGTGTGGGTGACGTTGTTGAGATTTCTAACAAATCAATCATAAGCATGCATGCCGCTCTCCCCGATGTGGGTCACTGCAGGGTGGAAACATCGACACGAGCGATCAGACTGGCAAACAGCCTTGCACTCTCCCGTCCCGTGTGCTATACTCGTACGCTACAACCTTCTATTGTAATCACACATGTACGTATAGGAGAGTCGGGTGTCACCTCTAAATTTTTTGACTCAGGGACTCCAGAGTGGGCCCACTAATGCACATACTCCCCATATCCCTGCACGGGGGCGGGGGCGGGGGCGGGGGAGGGGGAGGGGGAGGGGGAGGGGGAGGGGTGAGGGGGAGGGGGGTGAGGAAGTCGGGGGGAGGAGGATGACCAAGAAGTGAGCAATCAGAAACGAGCAGGGCGAGAACTCAGTCGCTGACAGAACCGCTAGCGGCTGGTGCCTGGATAAAGAGACAGGGGATAGGGCGACGGCAAAAGAGCAGGGGCTACGGTGAAACATGAGGACTGAACCGCCCCCTTGGTCCGGCCCGGTTTGTACGCGGCGGGTGGGCTTAGGTTTCACATGTTGGGGGCATTTCTGCGGGCCCTGGCAGGGCAAGCTCATGCCGCAGCCGCGACGACAGAGCTGGGGGACAGTGCTGGGCTGGGTGACAGCCAGATCGTAGCTCCGGCTGGGCCGCGGTAGTGGCGGGCGTGACTTGAGTCTGCAATATAATGAAAATGTTGTTGCATGTAATGTTGTTGAGTGCTTCACTGACTTGCCCTGTGCTTCGCTCACTCACTCGTCCAGTGCTTCAATCACATACGTCCCATGCCACCGGCTCCACTCGCTCACATGGCATCAACCATGCCGTGTGCATCATATGTGATGTTCTGTGCATGTGGGGCCGGCCCATACGGCGCACACATCATTCCCACCCGCCACCCCTCAAACGTCCTCCCCCACGTTACAACTTCCACGCTGCTGCCAAATCACTCACCTCCCGCCACACTCCTCCCACCTACCGGCAAGTAAACATCACAACAGAGCGGACACGACTAGAGCGGACCAGACCAGACCAGATCCGAGAAGAGCAGAAAAGGCCGTAACGCCGGACCTCCAGGCCATTATGATATGGCCACACCCCAAACACATAGCGGACTGCAGATGCAAGCTAGTGGGACAGCGGCGGATGGAACGGGAAGAGCTGAAGGGAAGAGCTGAAGGGAAAGGGATGGTTTACGCTCGGAGCGACTCTTTGACGGGCAGCATTGCGTCGAAGGGTGGGGCAAAGTGTCGTTCGCCAATCTCGAGATGGTGTGGCGGTGTGACATGGCGAAGTGGTTGGCGCGACGTGGTGACATGGCGGCATGACGTGGTGAAGGGTGTCGCGACGATGCGAACAAAGCGGTAACATGGCGAAATTTGGGCGTGATATGGCGACGTGCTGCAGCGCGACGCGGCTAAATGACGGTGTGACATGCGAAATGGCGGTGTTATAAGGTGGAATGGCGGCGTGACATGGCGAAACGGCCGCATGACATGTCGAAATGGGGGCTTGACATGGCGACATGGCAGCGCGACGCGGCGTGACATGTGAAATGGGATCACATGGCGAAATGACGGCACGATTTGATGAAACGACGGCGTGACATGCGAAATGGTGGTGTGACATGGCGGAAGGAAGCACTACACGGTCCGTGGGAGGGGTACAATAGTCACACTACGGACGGCGGCGAAACACGTTGGCAGGAAGAGCATAAGCGCGCCGAGCCGATAGCTCGAAGCACCCATCACAATGACTAAACCTGGTAGAACCGACAGTGAAGCATAGCGACTAATTATTAGGCGCTTTGAATTAGACCGACATCGCACAGCAGATCCTACTTCTAAAGCCTCTAGCTTGAAAACCACGAGTGTGGGTGGATGTATTTTACTTATTAGCTTTCTGCTCGAGCAGCGGCTCCTCAAGGCGATTGAGAGCGGAGGAGACATGCTGAGGTGGTTGCTTTGGATCAGTTCTGCCTGATAGAAGCAAACTGTATAAGGTTACCGAGTTCGTTCATGTCGTTACGGCTTTGTGCGAAGCTCCGAGTTCGCGGGGAACAGGTCTGGAGCTCGAGTCGCAGCAACGGTCCCTACGGGGGACTTCAAGGCTGGCACGGCTACTCTAGCTTTGCCATGCCGAAGCAAAGGCTGTACATCTGGCGCACCAGGTTCGGCTCGAAATTTTTGTTTCTCCTCGAGGAAGGCGGAGACTTTGGAGGTCTGTGCGTTCGGATTTGGTTTGTGAAGACGAAGTTACCAGATTCGTTCACGTCGCTTACGCGTACGAATGCCCGAACTTGACGGAGATCAGGCTCGGTCGAGCTGACCACACCGAAGCTGACTCGTCTCGCTTCCAAACTTTTTGGGTAAGTAGCTTTCGCAGGGGTACTACTTGCGGAGAATTCTATTCTAAGGGAGAACTGAATTGCATGTGACGCACGGTCAGAGTTCTGGCAGTGATTCTGGACAGAGTGTTCGAATGACTTAGTAGAATTCGAGCATAGTTTCACTAAGGAAAATTTGATAGAACAAGATTATAGTACAAGGAAAGAGATCCCAAATAGCAAGCACAATGAACCCTGGAGAAACGTTCCTCGACGAACGCTCGACCTTTCCGAGTCAGCAACGCCAGGTGAAACGACAAGCATATGTGTCTTTCCCTGAGTTGGCAGCTTCTCAGGTTTCCAACGTTCAGAGTTGTTTACGTTTTTACTGTTAGTAAAAACGTCTTTCAGGTTCAGTTTCCTTACTGATTCGAAATCTCCTGGGGAGTACAATTTCCGAAATGCTATGATTGGTCGAAATTTCCCGTTTCGCGATTGGTCCAAATTCGCGCACATTGCAAATTTTAGAGAGAATTAATGTTTTCGACCAGAAACGCTCTGCTCGACGGTGCCTGTTTCAAGCTTAATTCTGTCGATCAGCGTTTCGTCGAAACACTGTTTTCTACCATTTCGTCGACCCGCAAGGCTCGATTTCGACGCCGTTTTGCTCCCCTCGACAAGTGCCTCGTCGAGGGGCAGTTGCGTAGAGCAGAAACAACACTTCAATTTCGACGAATTAATCTCGTCGAAAATCGACCCGTCGTTCAGAGATAAAAGTCCCTGAAGTCGCCGATGACCACGAAACGAACACCGTTGTGCTCCGAAAAGCTGGCCGACTTCGCCCAAGCGAGGGCGGGGCCTTTTCTCCTTGACACTCCCCTGCCCAGCTCACGCTTGGGCACCCACACACAAGGTCCACCCAGAACCTAGCTAATAAAATACAAGGGGACATTTCTCTGGCGTGCACACCTCCGCACGCCGATCACCGCACCAGCCATGTTAGAGGACATGGCACCTACTGCTTCTCGTCGTCGTCGTCGCCGACTTCGGCAAGGCGAACCTGACCGACCGCGACAGAGCACCGGTTGAAGGCCGGAAAGTGCAGCCCTTTCGTAAGGAAGTCCGCCGGCTGCTCGGATGTCGGGATGTACTCCAGCGCAATCTTCTTGCGCTTCACCATCTGCTGCAGCCAGGCGTAGCGTCGCTCCATGTGCTTGAGGTTGCCCTTCAGCCCCAAGCCCTCAGCGACAGCGATGGCGGACTGATTGTCCACGTTCAGAACAGTTGGCGTCCCAGCATCAAGGAGCTGGAACTCGGCGAGGAGGAACCGAAGTCGACGAGCCTCCTTGCCTGCTTCGGTGGCCGCGATGTACTCCGACTCTGTAGAGGACAGAGTCACGCACTTGATGCGTTGGCTCGTCCAGGAGACAGCTGCGCCGCCGAAGGTGAAAACGTAGCCACTTGTGCTAGTGCAATTCTACTTGTCGCCGGCGTCGTCCGCGTCCGCGTAGCAGACCAGTTTCAGAGTTTCGGGTCCTCCCCCGAACTCCAGAGCGAAAT